CTAATCCCCTTTATTCTAATCTATCACAATCCGAATCCGGACAACCAAATATAGCCCGAGTATTTATGCAAGGCGACCGCTTGAGATGGGTACTAATTTACATAACATTAAACACGGCATCTCTCATCCGATACGAAACTTTGAGATGTTACACAGGCTACAATGATCTTGTCAAGGTAAATCCTCCGCTTGCCCACGAATGGGATGATGGGCTGAATCTAAATGGCACTTGAAATCATGTTTTTGCTTTTTATATTGGTTTTATGTGTCTGGACTATACCAATGAATGTTTACAAAACAAATTTAGTCATCTTCAGGATGCCGGACTAGGAGGATATGAATCAATCCTTTCTAGTTCTAACTTATCCTTCTTGGCGATTGTGATTCCGAACCTTTTAGCACCGAATGGAGTCCGCATCCAAAAGCAAATCGATCATCTAAAAGAAAATTCGAATATGACAAGATATATACAATGCAATGAATACTAATGTTAATTTTTTTTTGGTCTGTGATGAATACTAATATTGACATTATGAATTATGAATACTCAATTTATTCGACAAAATTCGACAATTATCGTATTCAGATTTGCAATCGACTTCACCTTGCAAGTCATCTCAGTAAAACCTGCATGATGATTGCAAAAATCACGATTCAATAGGATTGTACCACTGGATAAAACTTTGGTCGCTCCACAAAGATTTAAAGAACATAAGGGAATGAACAAAAGAGTAGGAGCCTCTCATATCCACCCACTCAGATTGAAGATCTGAGACCCTTTTCTTTCCCATCTTTTCATAACCTCTTAATTTCGTGTTTACAAAAATAATTTAGCAAAAAAAAAAGTATTCACCAATTATATTTAACTCCCCGTCAATTAAGAATATTTCTGAATATCTTATAGATAACGTAGTCTATAAATTTCGTTTACGCTAGTCTATAGTTTATTTCTATTTTTTATGAGACTAACTAATGTGGAAAGTAAACTAGCTCACGTGCATAATTATTTGTGCCATCAACCAAATCAGTATCTCTTTGTCATTTGTTCTTCGATTATAAAGTTGGAAGGTATTGAATATGATTCACTTATATGAGTATATGATTACACTATTAAAATGACATTAAAGATTGAATCATGTGATTGACTTGGACCCAATTTGATTGGAGGGAAAAGATACTCAGTTGTTGTAATTTAAGAAGTTTGTAATTAGAAAAAACTCTTAATTTCTTCTTCTCGCCTCTCTTTAGTGCCCTACCCCTATTGTACATTGCTACAGCCCAATCAGCACCATCCCCTAGTCAGCCGTCGCTCAGGGCACCTCGCCGCCGCCGCCGCCGCCGCCGACAATACCATACTCGGAGAGCTCTAGAGATGATGTGGCATGACTGGGACAAACACTTATATGTATTCTGTATTAACGAACTTCAAAAGGAAATTAAAGATCAGTGTTGAAAGCGCATAAGTTTGCATTTGCTTGATCAATAGCGACATCTGCATGCTGCGTGCAACTCCTACCAAATACCCCATTTTTTTCAACGCTCATCCATTCAAACTTCGACTCTCTTTCATCCACCACGCTTCGCCTGCAAAGTCTTTTTCCCAGATGACCAAAAGAATTGAAAAAGCTTTGTCAAAGGTCCAATGTCAAGCCCCACACATCACTGAAAAGCTACCTCCTCAGAATACACTACATAATCTTCTGGGATACACCAATAGACCACCGTAAAACTCCCCTATGCTTGTAATAATCAATGATCACATATTATAGACTACTAGAACTTAATATACTTCCCCAATTATATATATATATCCACAAGTTGGAGGACTTACATGCACTTTATGCAACCAGCCACTTTCTTTCGCAGTGTAAACTGATAGGCTTCATCTTCATCACAAGCTGAGCACCGAGAGCGAGAGAGTATACAGCTTTTCTCTAAGATGCTGGCAATCTTAGCAATTCCCGCATGTCAAGCTTTTCTTCTCCGCTCATCAACCCGACGAGGCGAAACAAATTCGAGGTCACAACGTGCGCCAAAATCTTCACAAGGCACACACTTTTTGATTGCGTGCGCGTTCATTTGAGCTTGGCATGGAAATTAAATTCGATTGCAGGAATTAAATTTGATTGCAGTTGCTTTGCTTGATTATTTCTTCTTCTTTTTTGTAGATGAATGAGAAGATTAACAAGGACACAGTTTACCCACCCATCGGTGGCCGCGTTAGTTTGCGCTCAGTTCCTTTCATGAGAAGTCCTGGGTTCAAAACTCGCCCATCGGTGATTTAAGTGGGGGGTCGTGGCGGTGGGATGCTGCGCTAGCCCCCCTCGAGGACTAGTCGGGCATCACCGCTGGTTTGAGCCCTAGCTCGCCGGCCGCGCGGACATCTCGATTATCAAAAAAAAAAAACAAGGACACAGCAGTACACGGACTTCTGCTTTGGTCATCAATGGGTTTCTTAATGCCTCTTGTAATACTTGTAATACGATTGTCCATTAGAGAGGAAAAAACTGCGCACGGGCCAAAGCGTTCGTTTCGTTCGTGTCATCTTCCAAGTAATTAGGAGTGAGCGGTTCTAGGTTCCTTACAGGTTCCACTTAGAACTTGAAAACTATCATCGGATAGAGGTTTCTCATTTTTTGGAACCTGGAACCTACCTGTTGGAACGTGAAACTTAGAACCTACCTGTTGGAACGTGAAACTTGGAACCTACCCTGTCACCGGTTCCAGGGTCGGTTCCAGGGTCTACCCAGGTTTCACCTGTATTATTAATTAAACAATTGCAGTGAATCATCACCTTTAATAACCACCACTTGCTGTTACGATCCATTAACCACAACTTATATTTGACACATGAAAAATATGAAACATTAACAAGTCATAAAATGAAAACTCAAACTAGTGGTTCCAAATTATACACTCATCATCTAACGCCATTGAATATCACAGGATCACGTGAAAACATAGATCAAGAAAAAACACAAAACTTGTTTAAGGTTTTAGGTTGCAGGTTCCACCTATTTAGAACCTGGAACTTGCTCGTCAAAACAGGTTCCTCAATTTTTGGAACTTGGAACCTACCCTGCATATCTTGGAATCTGAAACCCACAAGTTTTTATCGGTCAGGTTCTCAAGTTCGAGGTTCTACCCTAAAACCATGCTCATCTCTATAGGTAACATGTTATTCATTAAAATGCATTTATTGTCATTCTACGTGTTATTAAGACATTATGGTGAGTGATTTTTGTAGAACAAATGCTTTCCAAAAACAATGTAAAAGCAAAGTTAAGTAAAAATTCCAAATAAGGGGCCGGCCAGCTGAAAATTCCAGCTGATCAAGGGCATTTTCGTCCAACACAATTTTAACCTAAATATTAGTTAAATTAAATTAAAATTTTAGAATTTTAGAATATTTTAAAAAACAAAAAGAAAGAAAAAAAAATACAGGCCAGCCCTCCCGCCTGTGGCTACTGTCCCATCGCCAGTGGAGCGTTGGCAATGGCCGACGAGGTCGTTAGCACCTCAACCAGGGCTTTCTGGCCCTTGCTAGAACTGTGACCCTCTCTCGAATCTAGGCAGGTCTGGTCGAGGGCCAATCACCTGTGGCCGGTCTTAGTCGATGGCCAGCCGCCGGCGAAAAGAAAAGAAAAGAACAGAAAAAAGAAAAAAGAAAGGAAAAAAGGAAAAAAAATTCAAAATAGTGAAGGACGAAAATGCTCTTGATCAACCAATGATGTCTAGCTCTTCTTTAAAATTGACGTTGCCATTTCAAGTCCTTAATTGAGATAGTGAGAGCATGGGCAATTATTTGATATTTTCTCAAAAGTTAACGGAGGACATGAAAACGCTCTCAGGTGCATAGAATGGGATCGTTGGGTCTTAAAAGATGTTGATTTGTGCGTAGACATCGGATCCACCAAGGAGGTCTCCAATGACTCTAATCATTGTGTCTCCGCTTCTTTTTCAGTTTTTTTTTGGCTTTTTAATTGTGGAAAACGTTTCTTGATTCTTTATAATCCATTCTCTAATTATGAGTGCTTGAATTACAAGAAATACTGTTGGAGAGGAATAAACTCGCAGTGGGGACACATATCAACATTACTCCTACTTTCCATGCAAAAATAATCCGTTGTCGTCCCTAGTTTTCACTAAAATTGGGTTACTACATAATTGGGTTACTACATGAATGGTCAGTACAAATCCATGGAACCTACGTTAAAAAAAAAATCTTATAACTAAATCACTCATCTTGAAAAGGTAAACTTCGAAAATATGAAATTCCCTATTAAAATATTTAAATATTAAAACACTTAATAATTTAACAGCTTAAAACTTTTATAACAGTTGATAGGATCTCACAAAAAATATCCTAATATCAAAATAAGAGATCATGAGTTCAAATCTTCCAAACCCCTCATTTACCTTTCGTCTTATATCTCTCTCCAAGCTTAGGACAGGTAACAAAAGAAATCTCCCAAAATTCTTTTGTTATGATTTTATTGGCTTTATGATTATCTTAGGTTTTGTTTTTTATTTTTACAAGTCATCAAGCGGTTGTCTTACCTTATTGATGACAAGCGTGTCTTCTTCTCAAAAATACGCAATGATAACTCATTGGAGTGCCTTGTTGGGAAGTTAAATATCGCTCGAGCATCTCTTGATGTTTGTTTAATATTAGTTTCTTCGGATCTAATCTTTCTTAGTAAGATCAAGAGAGTAATTTGATTCCGATTTGTTGGTTAATTTGGATACGTAAAGAGTAGCCATTCCGTCCTATGACTACTATTGCTTTATATCTACTACCTTCCTCAATAATAAAAAACTTGCTATATCCTTTTCATCTTAGATGCCCGTATACCTGTATTGCTGTAACTGTTTTCTTCAAATGAATATGATTAGATACTATAGGCAAGTTTTTGATTGTTGAGTAAGGCAGTGGATTTAAAGTGCCGCAATAGTAGCCACGAGACAAAATGACTGCTCTTTTCGTTTCCTAATTAAGCTTTCCTAATTAAGCTGCAAATCAAAATAAAATTACTCCTGATGTCACTAAAAATGATTCGAGCCGAAGAAACTAATATTAGACATACATCGAGAGGCACTCGAGTAATATTTAACTTCTTATCAAGGCACTCTAGTGGGTCGTCATCACGTATTTCTAAAAAAATACCCGCTTCTCATCATTGAGGTAAGACAACTGCTTGATGACCTATAATAAACAAAAAATATAACATAAGATAACCATAAAGACAATGAGAATATAACAAAAGATGATAAACATATTCACTATATCGTGAGCTTTGTAATGTTGTTGTACACGAGAGTAAAATGATCCATCGGCCACCTTGAACATCTCCACGATCTCAAAAATATGATTGCCCCTCCCCTTCTCTCCAGCCTAAGATAAGTAGGCAAAAAAGTCATCAATGCAGTTATTGTGGTGGTATTGCAAATCATAAATATCTGTTTACAATTAGGTGCTACACCATTGTCATGTGAGCTTATCAATCCTAAGATAGTTCCAAATGGTTAAAGTAACTTGGTATCAAACCTCTCTCAAATTGAACACAAGGTTAGGAATGGATATGATATTAGCTAACTAAATATTTACATTCACAATCTGAAGTTTATACAAAAAAATACAATCCTGGAAAATAGAATCAGATGTTGAAAAAGTTTGCAGTAATGTAATGCCATGGTGACTTTAGCTTTAGCATCTGATGGAGAAGATTGTGCGGAACTTAGTCCAATCTAACTATTGGGCTATTGGGAGTGTGATGCACTTCAATAGTAACATTCATCTCAACAAAAGCTAGAAAACTTTCATTTAAATTGTGCAATGCCAAACTTTATGCAACTGGGTTGCTTGTGGTAGATCTATCTCATCTTTGCATAAAAGTGCGATTCCCTATATGGGATGTCTTTTGTCTCGAAGTTTGCCATATAACTCCTCCAATTCAGACAATATTTGCATGATTCTTCAAACAAAACCACAATACTCACGTCCATATCAAGTATAAGATCGATGCAGAAGATGTTCTAGCATTTTTCAATCTAGACTACAACTAAAAGTAGAATTCTTCTCGTCATTTCAAATTAGTGCAATTTTAAACTAGCAAGAAACAAGTAGCCAGTGAAGCTATGACCCAAACTATTGGTAGATTCTATCAAAATCCATTTCTATAGATAAACCTTCATTCATCATACTAGCCCGATGCCATTTAATTGCAGAATATGTATAGTTGCAATTTTCAAAAGAATATTTATTAACTCACCTTCACATAGGCATCATCACCAATATCATAGAAAACCCCATCAACTATGCCTTCGTGTAGTGGCACTAGGCTTGGATTGTTTCTTTAGAGTTATCGCCTCCACAAACGTTGTGTTGTAATAGAACATCCAGGAAATACAACTGTTAACAAGGAGAAAAAGATCAACCTATGTCAGAAAAAATAACTAAGCAGGTACTCAAATCTGATCTTACTCTTTATTGCCGTTTACATTGGCCACCTTTTTCTTCTGCAAGATAGAAAAGGCACCACGGCAAATATAGCAAAGATTAATATCAGCAGAAAGCAAAAAAGGAAAATTCAAAGCAACAAAAGAAATTGCATGTCAATAATCTCATGTGCGGTCTTGTAGAGGGGAAGTAAGGGTTCATCGCCTTTGAGTAGACGACCTTGTATGATATTTCCATTATTTCTCCGCACACTAGAGGGTGGAGTGTGAACTTGACATGGAAAAATTCATTGGTTTGAGACTAATTGTTTCTACATGTAACTTCCTCTGTCTTGACTGATTCTCACACCATGACTAATTAGCTAGTTTAGTGTATCTACCTCCAGATTAAAGGATCAATACTTGCACCAAGGAACCGATGAGTAAGCACTTTCACGGGCTAATTAGGAGTACAAAACTTCATCAGAAATAAGCTTTAGCACCTTCCACAAGTGATAGATGCCTTGTATGATTGATTCAAGTCTTATCAGTGTAAATAACAATGGATGAGACCATTCTGACAAACTATTATGTCGATTCAAGTCTACTCTTTAAGTACTAAAAAAACAAATGCAAGAGTGACCAAAAGAGAAGGATGTCACAAGTTGAAGGTGCAGAATCTAAGTAATACAAAAAATGCAAAAATCATAGCTTCTCTTATCATCCTTCTCTAATAGTAGAACTACGAGTCTTGATTTGAAAAAAATTACTTCTATCTCGATAAGAAACTTAGATGCAAAATTTTCTCTAAAGCAGTCCAATAGGGAGGGCTAGAGATCAACAGCCCATAGAAACAATACCAAGAATCCAAGGGGGCCTTTTCAGTTTTTAATAAGCCTCTTAAGGTTTTAACCTCTTGATATACTCATTTCATCTCCCTCCTGTATGCCTTGAACATAAATATAGAAGAGTTAAGTTCCATAAGATATCTGCCAAAAAATTACACCAGGGAGTTCAATCAAAATCTAGGCAAATTTAGTAACAGTATGCCACTCCATTGAATTCTTCCAAGTATAATCAATGGAAAATAGGAATCCTTTTTGTCCCATTATACATCAGGTATTAATTCTCAAATACTCTTTCGTTCATCATTCAATGGTTCTTGTTAACAAGCGCCAAAGGGCACTATATAAGACCAGTGGTAAAAGTTGACACACTTTGTAAGTTGAGCAAAAACACATTTCAAGGAAGTAAACTCCTTCAAGTAGAAATTTGTATGTTTCCAAAACACTGAACAAGGCCTTGAGGACACACTTTTAACATTTCCCTTAATAAATTACGTACAAATTTTGAACTCAACAATAAGTGGGAATTACGGATCTAAATTATTCAAACAATAACTATATATCAGGGGGGATACCATAGAATATCATCCACATTCAATTTGCTATTATCTTTTTTAATGACCTCATCAACATTTAGTTAGATAAAGAGAACAAACAGAAAGATTATTCATCCCTCAGGATTGGGCATCAAAATTAGCTACCCTCAGTATATACAGTTGGATGAGGCTCGAGCAAAACCTCAAACTTCTGATTGGGACACATTTTCCTGGTCAATGTCCGCTATTTTCACTCGTAAGAGGCAAGAGGATATGGCTGTAGCTAGTCTTCAGCAGCACATACAAACGAAAAAAGGGCCAATTCCGGCCACCACATTTATCTCATCCTTGATTTGGCAAAAGCTGCATCGGCACCATTTCTCACTCAACCCGCATCTTATTTCTACAAATTAAATCGACAGTATTTCTAAATGTTAGAGATATATTTCCCTTATCCCTGTGTATCTCTCATGATTGCGCATTATCTTCCCTGATTGATTGTAGTTGATATTGTAATAATTTGTTGCTTTAGATAGTCATCATGTAGAGTCTATAAATAGACTCATGTACCATTTGCCTCTCCAATCACATATTTTCACACTTTAGTCTTAGGCAAAAGTTCAGTAGAATATTTGAATAGTCGATAGTGGTGGTATCATAGCGGGACCTGCAAACCTTTCCAAGACCCCTATTTGCCTCTCCATTTACATATTTCCTGCCTACACCTGAGAGGAGTTAAAATATTTAAATATCAAACCACGCCTTCATCTAATAGCTTAATAGCTTAAACTTTTAGAACAAAACTCACGCTAAATAATTGGGGAGTTAGAATATCTAAATATTAAATCACGCCTTCACCTAACAGCTTAAACTTCTAGAACAAAATCTCACACTAGACTCGGTATAAATACCCATTATTTTCCCAATGAACTGAAGCTCATACCATCCAAGTAGCTCTGCTCACTCAAATCGAGCCACCAATAATTGTCAAACACCCCCATATGAGAAGATATCATCTACCATTGCAAGTCACATAACAGTTCGCCCATTAAGCAACACTTTTCAACAACCAGAAACAAACCAGCACCAAAACCCAATAACTGGCCACTGAGCTGAATCAGATTCGAGAGAAAAAGACTAAATAGAAATCAAAAAAATGAAAGACTACCTTGCCCAAACCAAGATGCCACTTATGCCATTTCTGGCGAGCTTCATCTTTGGGGATCAGAGACCCAATGAACCGGCACTCCAACTCCTCATTGTCGTTATCTTCAGCAGAAACGGCACGAGCCCTCGTCAAAGGGACGGCCTTCTTGGCACACTGCTTGTGTTAGGCGGCTACTGAGAGAGGCAGAGACGTTAGAGAGATTGTAAAGGAATGGGTAGCGAGTCACTCAATTTCTGCTCACAATCTTTAACCACTCGCAAGTCGCAGCCTCGTATGATGATCAACTCAAAATGCCAATTTATCCAGCTGCTCCCTAAGGCACAAAGTTATCTACAAGTCAAACAATAATCACTTGCTAGGAACTTCACAGGACGCATAAAATTCAAAACCTTATGCGAGCCCTCATCCCGATTCACTCTTACAAGAATATCATCAAACAGGTTGTGACTAATCAGCACAACCACCTAACAGAACTATCAAGCATATACCGTTCAAAATCAAGAATCACACAACCAAAAAGAAAAGGACATGAAAGATGGTTTCCAAAGAAAGGGGTGCTTCAACTTTGCAAGCCAAAATGATATAGAAACTAGAGATCACAAGATGGTTTCCAGAAGCCAATCAGATTGCATAAGAATCTACAATTGAACGGAGATTGAAGCCCAGACTACTTCAAAGTAGTTCTACGCACATAATAACATACTCAAACCACAATCCTAATCCATTAATGGGTGTTCAGCATTGCAACCGAAGATTCCCGAATCAGCAAGGGAAACGAACAAGCCCACACGAAGACGGAATCACGAGATGTACCTTCGAGTGACCATTGTTCGCCTGAAATCGACAGCACTGATCATCCAAGATTCAGGACACGAAAGAGAGGGGTTAGAGTCATGAGTGCAGCCTTGCCAGGTGACGATTGTCCGATCGAGGATGGAGTCTCACGGAGGCGGCGGCGGCGAGCGGAACCGGGAGACGATCGGCGGAGGTACGGAAGAAGCGGATGTTGAGGAAAACTCCTATTGATTTTGAGGTTGACAAAACCTTCTGTGTTATTGTAAATCTAATACTCATTCTGAACAATTTTATTCCAGGTCTGTATATTCTGGAAGTTCAGAAGAAAGTTATTCAGACTTTACAATCTATCAAATATGTTTTTGAAGACCCACATAATCTAAGTTCTGAGATTCAGAAGCAGAAGTTATTCAGATGCAGAAGCAGAATTTATTCAGATGCAGATGCAAACGAAGAAATTATTCAGACGCAGAAATTCTTCAGACGCAGACGCAGAAGTTGTTCTGATGCAGACGCAGAATTTCTTCAGACGCAGAATTCAGAACGTAACACAACAGCTAGTGATCTGGCATGGATTTCACAGAAGGAATGTTCTGATTGTCTCAATCTGAATCAAATTGATTGACAATCAAACATCATGACAAGAATGCATTACAACGGACAAAGTTCTACTTATGGAAACCAAGATTCTGATTGTATGGGCGACCAGAATCAGCGGGATTCAGAATCTGTTATCCAACGGCTACTCAATCCTTAGTATACAAATCTGTCCAAGGTGAAGATTGGAAGATGATCCTCTGAATGCTGTCCAACGGCTAGTTTGGAAGTGGAGGAGTATTTAAGGAGATCAATGAGCAGCAGAAAAAAAAAACAGAATCAAGAATCAACAAGTCCAAAGTCTGAGCTTAATCCAATTATTTTCTCTTGTCATTCTGAGCCAAACATTAAGATCTTGAGGGACACTTTGTAAGAGTGATTGTGTGAGATAGAGAGTTCTATCATACACAAGAGTGTTAACACTCAGAAGTTGTAATTCCTCTTGATTACATAGTGAAATCCAAACCAAAAGGTAAGAGCGTGGGAGAGTGGACGTAGGCTTGCTATATGCCCGAACCACTATAAACTTGTGTGCGATTCTCTTTCCCTTATCTCTTACTTTACATTCCGTACATCAAGAGCAATCTATATAATCTGTCTTGAATCAATTTTATTCGACTCTTCCGTGATTTATTTATTTTTCCGCATAAATTACTAAAAATTGTTTTAGATCACCTATTCACCCCCCTCTAGGTGATCCTTGCTAGCTACATCAGCGGAGAGGGGGCGGCGTTAGAGTGAGGACCGTTGGTGCTGCTGCTTGATCGCTTAAGCAAGGAAATATACTAGTGCGCTTTAAATACGAGGAGCCAGACTTATTATTTTAAAATCCATTTTAACCATATTTTAAATTTAAGCTTACCTATTTATGATCCATTTCCATAAATTTGAAATCTATTTTTTGACAACCCTAATTATCGGATTTATTCAAGATGAAGCGAAGTGTTTAGTGAAATGTTTCGACTGTTTCATGCTTTGTTATGATCGTAATGATATGAAAAGTAGGATCAAAATAAATTTAACTAAGCTAAAGACTATTTTTATTCGGATTATAATATTGTCACTGAATCAATTGACTTGAATAATTCTGTAGGTCAAGTATTCTGTTCATCAAAGGTTTGCGTTTTGCAAATATAACATTCCCTTAAGTGGCTAGGAAATGACAAGTATGTCAATTAGGCGCAATCCCAATTAGTTTGATTCCCTGCATGCATGTGACATTACATGCAAACTATACCCTCAGGCCTCATGTACGTGACATTCACCCTGATTTCGGCTTGGGATTTTTTCCCTATCAATCAGGTTAGTAGAGAATAAGAATATCTAAATCAAATATCGATATAGCTTATTCTTTATTTCAGATATGTCAATTTGCCGTCAAAAAAATGAAGGTGCAGCTTGTTAATTGTAACTATTTGAGAAGCCACTCTGAATAAAAAAAATCAATTCGAAATAATTTGTTTTTGCCAATAGTTTTAAAGGTCTTCAATGAAATATCAAGAGATCAATCCTTTGAAATTTATAAAAGTATTGATTCGCGAGCACGCACGCACATAGCTCCTTTTAATAATGTATTAAAAAGGGTTGAGAAAAGGCCAATGGGGTTTGGTTCAATTGATAAGGATTTGGGCACTTCACGTTGATCATGTCTAGGTTCAATTCTCGTTGCTAGCAATACCATCGATTGAAAGTCAACGGGAAAATTATTAAGCCAATTATCAATATACCGTACGGATTTCCGTTTAGGCATAAACTTTTTAATTTTATCAATGTAGCAAACTTTCAAAGTAGTTTTTCCACCAATTCTCACACATGATGTCCAGCTATCACTGCCCATCCTACATAATAGGCCAGCAATCTAACGTGTACAACTCTAATAAAAATGTTTTAGCAAAAAAAAAATAAACTCTACTCAAAATGGCATCGGTTTGCATCTTTTTCTATTCTTAGCCTAAGTGAACAACCTTGAGCTTGAGCTCCGCCCCGGTGGCAAGTTCGAACCCCAACATCTAGAGGGCTCGAGTTCTATCTCGGCGTTGAGCTCGAGCTTCGTCGTGGCATGTAGAGATGATTGCTCGAACCCCGTGGGGGTCCCCACTTGCAACATCAGCCACGACGACCCTTACATGAGCTCAAGAGGTGAAAGTTTGGTACCTAGCCATGTAGAGTTTGGTTTTTTTTTTTTTTTTATAAATATATTGAAAGTCCTAAACTTATCATGATAATGTAATTAAATCTCAAAACTTTTAAAAAATGCAGTTAAGTGCTAAAACTTGTCACGAAAACGCAATGAAATCCTAAAACTTTAAAAAAGATAATCAAGTCTTGAAACTTGTCAAATTGGTCCAATCAAGTCCTTCCGTTAATTGCACTTTTTGAAATTTTCAGCGCTCCATTGCACTTTCATAATAAATTTTAGGATTTTCAGTGCACTTATCTTTTTTTCTTTTTAAAGCTTGCTCTAAATTTTGGATTGGTCTGTTAGTTGCTTTCACATTTTTCTCTTTGCCACAAGTTCGCTGATTTTAAGGGGCTCCAAGCACATAGCTCGTGGATCGTAGCGACCCCGGCCAAGCGCCCCTTTGTTGCGGCCGGGCCGATCTGCATGGAGACGCAAGAGATCGAGGTGAACGTTCACTCCTTCTCCATGGCTGTCGAGCTTGTACTTGTCGTGATCTCGGCGAATTCGATGGCCAAGGGCCGAGCCTTCATTTTTTGGAGGGTCGGCGGCTCGCTATTGAGCCTAGATCATAAGTGATTGGTGCCGTCGGAAGCTCGCATAACTCTAGCGAGATCGCCGTGATCGTTAGTAGTCTTGTAACAAGATTGAGCCGCCACGGACAATGAGTAGATAATCTCTAGGGAAAAAGTACATTAGAACGGAAAAGGAATAAAAAGAAAAGAGAAGGGAAAAAAAATAGAAAAATGACAAACCCCATATCGTTTCGTCACACATCAAATCATTAATTGTGTCATGTAAAACGGTCGACAATGATTTAACCATCACGTAGTGAATTGGGCGACAACTGGTTACAAGGACTGAAAATTTTTTAAAATTATATTGACAAACTTAAAAAGTTTAATATTAAATCGGCATGAATCGTGAGGCCGAGTAATTTTTCCGTACGATAAGTCAATAGTCAACTTTCTTCCGCATGCCCAACTACTAGGAGTGATCGGTTCCCGATCCGATCCGGTCCCACTCAAGAATCAGGAACCGGACCGGGAGGATCGGTTCCCAGATTCTAGGACCGAGGACCGGACCGGCTAGTCCTGGGAGCTTGGACCGGTTCCAATGAAACCAATCACTTATTGGAATGAACTGAAAATCAATGTTTAGTCCTGCAAGAAAAAGATAGAAGAAACAAGGGACCTGCATATGCTGCTCAATATTCACAAATGACATATCTATACTTTGAAATAAAGGGAAGACATAGCTACAAAATTGATGAAGAGGGAGTCATTACAAAGATGCCGCAACCTAAATTTGGAGAAGAGGGAGTCATGCTGGATAATCTCGAGCCAGGACAAGAGTTAAAAAGCATCAAGCATCACGAATAAAAGCTGGCCAAGTGTAAATTGATAAAGGCAAAAGGGAATTGAGGAAATTGGTAAAGACAAGAGAGTATTAGAGTAGTTAGATTAGGCTTTCTATTTTTCGAAAATTTTAAAAAGTAAATAAGTATATATTTATCAGTTCGGTTCAATCCGATCAATTCGATTCCCACTCTAGAACTGGGAGCCGGACCGTTCGAAAATCGATTTCACTTTTAGGAATTGGGAATCGGATCGATGCTTTCGAGAACCAAACCAAACAGGTCGGTCCGGTACGATCCGGTTCGGTCTCAATTCAGACGGTCCATCATGCTCACTCCTACCGACCACCACAAACGGAACACAATAAACAAATCACCTTGTAAAATCACGTTGATGAATAAATAGAACAAGAAAAAAAATGGAAAGAAAAGAAAAAAAAAGGACATCGCCTTTCCTTGCGCTCCAGTGACGCCACGTGTTCGCCCGCCCGCCAGGTTCTTCGTCCCCACTACAAACAAACAAACAAACAAACCCCGCACCTGCAAAACCACCAAACTTCCCACTCGCTTTGCTCTCTCCACCGCCACCGCCACCGCCACAAGAAGCACTCCCCCCAGTCTCTCTCTCTCTCTCTCTCTAGAATTCCGGCAATGGAGGCGGTGTCGCAGCTCGTGTGCTGCGGCGGCGTGGAGCCCCTCCGCTGCAGCTTCCCGGCCCACGCCTCGCCGCCGCCGCCGCCGCCCGGCCGGTTCGAGGTCCGGCGACCGCGGTCCAGGCCGGTCCTCGCCGTGGCCGCGGATCCTAAGCCGGTCCGGACCGGGCCGCGCAAGCCCCCGTCGCCGCCGAGCACCTCGAACGGATCGCCGCCGTCGCCGTCGTCGCGGCCTCCGCGGTCCAGGCCCGTCAACGGCGTTTCCACGGTGAGCTTTTGCAATCCGGAGTAACGAAATGCTGGCTGGCTGCCTCTATCTTCCTCCGATGCCATGTCTGCTTGTAACCAGGTTTTCCAGGAGCTTCGATGAATGCATTGTCGTTGTGATCGCTTATTTGCAGCGCTCGTTTCCTCCGTTTTCTCTAACTTTTCCTTTTCCGCCGGTGTAAATTGCGTGTGTTCGGATTTCGGGTTTGAGGATCGCTAAGATATTGGACAAATTTTTTTATCTTGTGTGCGCGCTTCTTCATTAGTTTTGAGAGAAGTTTAGTTATTTCATCGATTTCATTGAGTTGATTGTCTGGGTATGGGTCAATTTTAACTTTTTTTTTTTATCTTTACATTGTGATGGCAGAGAATAGGAGATGTCTCGCAGGAGATTAAGAGAGTGAGGGCCCAGATGGAGGAGAATGAGCAACTGGCAATACTCATGCAAGGGTTGAGGGGTCAGAACCTGAGGGACGCGCAATTCGCGGACGACAATGTTCAACTTCGTCTGGTCGAGGTATGATGGTCCTCTCTCCAATTCTGCTGATAAGAGATGAGCCTTAGTAAACAACCTGCAGGTCTTGAGAATGCTGTGTCTTGATGTGCATTCGTCGTCGCCCGCTTGGTGTGGCTTAGAACATTGATGCTTCTGTAGTTTGTTTATTTATGTGGTAGAATATCTATTATTCTGAATATTTACTTGTGCATAGCACGCTGTGATGCAAGATTTGTTGAAAAAGCATAACGGGTCAACATTCTCTTTATCTCGTGTCAATGCCAATGCTTTACAGGTGGATGAGAGCAGTGAGTTTTTGCCTTTGGCGTATGATCCTGCTACCATCTCTGCTTACTGGGGAAAACGCCCACGAGCTGTTGCTACACGCGCTGTCCAGTTACTATCGGTTGCTGGAGGGTTTCTCTCCCGTCTTGCCGTGGACGTGATAAATAAGAAAGTTAAAGAGGTAATAGCGATTCCGTTCCTTCATTGTGTATTGGTATGTACGCTCAGTAGCCGACTTAACTATTTATTTGAAATAAATCGCTTTTTTTTAATGTAGAGAGTACTGTTTTAGAGATTCAAAGATGAGTTTCCCTTCTTCTGGTCATAGATGAGCGACGAAGTCTCAAAAAGCTAAATATAAAATGTTAAATGACTCTGGAATAAACTAAGGTCTTGTGATTGTCTATCTTTTGATCTTTCCACTAGCTTCTTGTTTCCATTTTGAAAATTATTCTACATCACTTTGCCTTAGTTAACCTAACGGTTCAATCTTTGTTAGTAAGTTGTGGTTTTGTGTAAAGTTGAGAAATTATTTCTGCATTCAACTTCCAAAATCAACGTGCAAATCCTTAATTCTTATTTTGTCTAATTGCTTTGATTCTTATGATCAGAATGAAGTTGCTAGGGCAATAGAGTTGAGAGATATTGTAACTTCCTTGGGTCCAGCCTACATAAAGCTTGGTCAGGCATTGAGCATTCGGCCTGACATTCTTTCACCTGCCGCGATGACTGAGCTGCAGAAACTCTGTGATAAGGTAAACATCTCCTCCCCCTTTGCTTTATTTATGTGTACAATGCCTTTTGTTTTCTTTAGTTTGCATGTACCCTTCAAACTGATCCCTCCACAACTGTTTTTATGATTATATTGCGGGATTCCTGGAAATTTTAAGCAAGTAACTACTCGTTTGTCTTCAACGATATTAAAGAGAACGGAAAATGTGAGGTTGTCCAATCTTGCGGAAGTCTCATTCGAGGGAATGGAGATTTATTTCTCGCTCATGATTCAGGAGTATGAATTGCGAGGCCTTAAGACCAACTTTTTTACTTTGATTGATGCTAGATTTGTCATGGAATCTTAAGCCATCTTATGTCATTCCATGAACCAATTCCATCGTTTACTTGCATAGGTCCCCATGCGATTACAATCTGAGTAGTCTGGTTCGGGTTCTTCTGCATTCACATTGCTCCATTATCATTATCATTTTTGTCCATTATCGTTATCATTTTTGTCCATCATGGTCAATTTCATGCTCTATACATTCTTGCTGGTGTCACCACTGCAAATACTGTTTGTGGTTCCGTTGATTGCCATAAGCTGGCATTCCCAGGAACTTAATCCACAGTGACCTGTCTTGTGGTGCTGCATCTTCATAGAATTGGTTAGGTGGCTGACACTTCCATGGTACTGCTATTGGCTCAATCTCTGTTGTGGGCAACACCACACCATTATCATGTTATTATTGTTAACATTCCGCTTCCTGTTTGACCCAATTATAGACACTCAGTTTCCAGTTCCAATTGCAATTTTGGCTGAGTAATAAACGGTGGAGCTAGAATCTTGTTTTTTTACTCATATCAGGATAGTTCAGTTTTTGTTTGTTTTAAAATTTTCCACTCTTGTTAAAATGGTTCGGGATAGTTTTTCTTTTCTACTACAACCCCCACCACAACCAACATTGACAAAGTCCACATGGCCTTTTTCTCACTAAGAGGTCTGCTGCATGGAATCAAGCCTTTTCCTCTTCTGGACTGGTTACATAGATCTTCTATGTCATTGAGCCCTGATTGTGTGGAATTATGCCTTCTTCCAGTATCTGTGCTGGATTCTAATTTTTAACAAGTATTGTTTGCTTTTGTTAAACATGTCACGGCCAGTCCAGGCTGCCGATATAGGCTGCCTGTAGAATGGCATGCTCAATTCTTCTTAATTCTTACCACATCGAACTTCCTTGACCTGGTCTCCCTTTCCTAGTTCCTTTTGTTTTGAGTTTCACTTCATCTATAAAGGGTATCTTACTTTTTGTGTTTTGTTTTGTTTTTTTTTTTTTTTGGGGGGTGGGTGGTGTATACATATTGGGTCAATTTGCACAGCTACATAACTCTGTTGTGTGATGACAGCTTGCACAATCTCGTGATGAGGGATTTTTTACAGTAAAAATGAGCAGAATTGGAACACTTGTCATGTGGCTGCGGTCTCTATGTTAGGTGGAAGCAGCCTGTCTTTCCCTGGCTTAAACTATATATTGATTATCTGCACATATATGGCTGTGTATGTACAACTCTGCAGCTGATTCATAACTTGATAGTAGTGGTGAAGTGTAGAGTAATGCAAATATTAAGTCTCTCACTTTCTATATGCATTTGTCTGAAAATATCATCTTGTTTATTGACATTTCTGTCTGCTGAAATGTGAAGGTTCCTTCATATCCTGATGATGTAGCTATGACACTTATTGAGGAGGAGCTAGGTCGACCATGGCATGAGATCTACTCTGAACTTACTTCTTCTCCAATTGCCGCAGGTAGTCTTCATGAATTACTTTCTACATTGTTTAGTCAATATCATCTGTTATTAACAGCATCTCTCTTTATTTTACAAGTGACTGGTATTCACTAGAGGATATTTATTCTTGTCGAGATTTGTGGCAGCATCTCTTGGACAGGTATACAAGGGCAAGTTAAACGAAAATGGAGATACAGTGGCAGTTAAAGTTCAGAGGCCTTTCGTTCTCGAGACTGTGACAGTTGATTTGTTCATCATACGGAATTTGGGTTTGGTTCTTCGGAGGTTTCCTCAGGTAGTATTTTATATGTCATTTTTTGGGTGGATGTGATAGCTACAGCAACTAATTAATAGCTTCAATCTTTTCATGATTTTTTTGATTTCCCAGATCTCCGTAGATGTGGTTGGGTTAGTTGATGAATGGGCTGCCCGCTTTTTTGAAGAGTTGGATTATGTCAATGAGGGTGAAAATGGGACACGTTTTGCTGAAATGATGAGGAAGGACCTTCCACAGGTGAGATTAATTCCTTGTTTGATGTATTTGACTGCAAGAACTAGGAGTTATACAAAATTCTATCACATCACTGCTTAATCCATAAGCTTAAAAATCTGTTAATTTCAATAATCCAGTATTTTTACTTGCTTTCAATTAGTTTTATTTAGTGCTTTTGATTTTATATTTTAATGTTTTGCTTTAGTGTGTTCAGATATGTCCTATTAAATGTTAGTGGGGCTAGGATTTACTTCTGCAGATATTGTAAAATTGTGTAAGACCATTACTATCTGGTCTAAAAGTTTAGACTGATAGATGAAGTCGTGGTTTAATATTTAAATATTTTAACACTCCCTCCCTCTCACGGGTACCCTAGACTTTGGCCTAAAACTGAAGCATGGAAATATGTAATTGGGAAGGAAAATAAGGGACCTAAAATAATTTGAACTCAGTTGCTATTGGTCTGATATCATGTAAAATATTTTGGCACAACTGCCAATCGTTCTAAAAGTATAAGCTATTATGTGAAAGCGTGGTTTAACATTTAAAGATTTTAAAAGATACTATTATATTTGGAAGTGAAAATAACAGGGCCAAAGTATAAATAACACAATATGATGAAACTACTATCTGTCTCATCTTTCTTTCTCCCTGTTTCACTGCTCATTTCATCTTGGGTTGTTATTCTTGGGTGATACTCTTCCCGGGGAGGAGCATCTGTTTTCTCCTGAACATTGTCTGATCTAGACGCATAAAACTTGTTTAGGAAGCCCATGGGACATTTAAATTAGCTTGACTGCTGTTTTTATGATTTGTCGGCAACATGATCAATTTGGTTGTGTTTTAAGTTCATGTAAGGGATGGGTTCATTCTTGACAAGGCTTGGTTTAAGAGGTCAATGTGGGCTCTTGGGCCTACTTATAGAATGTAAAATTATTGTGAAAGTGATCTATTTGAATTTTGTATTATTCTTCGACTGATGATTACTAGTTGGCATTGAGTTGAGGAAAAAACTCCATTTTGGCGGAACGATAGTGGCTGCTTTAGTTTTTCACAGAGCAACTAGACAGTCCAGTCGATATAAATTATGGGTTATTAATGTGACAAACCTTCTTGTTTGGGAATATAAATCTAAGATGCATGCCTTTTCTTTTCCAAGTTTAATGAACTATCGATAGGAACAAGAAATCATGTAATTGGATGAACTTATGTTTAATGCTTGCCTGCAAATCAAGTAAATACTTTTCTCGGCTATCAAAATCATGTGCACATCTTCCTGAAGTTATGGAGATTATCCATAGTGACTTTGCTTGATCTTTTGGTTATTAATCATGAAGCGCTTTTCTCAGGTTGTTGTACCTAAAACATACACTAAGTATACTTCAAGGAAGGTTCTTACTACAGGATGGATAGAGGGGGAAAAGCTGTCACAGAGTACAGAAAGTGATGTCGGAGAACTGGTTAATGTTGGAGTCATCTGTTATTTAAAGCAGGTAATCCACTGATCTAATGGGTACTCTTGCCCTTAAATAGTAGGACCTTTTGCTGTGAAACTTGGGTGCTTTCTAGTTCTACAATATATATTGTCTTTGGGCATGGTTAAAGGTTCTACCAAGGTCAATGGGCTTTTCAGTATGTTCATTGTGTACAGTACATTAGACAACTCACATATATCTATCCTTCAGTGCGGTGAAGCGAGAACTCCTGTATCCTTTTCCACAAATTCAAAGGAAAATGTAACCGAGTTGCCTTTGGGTACCACCACTTTAATCACTCATTAGAAAGAACCTACGAGATCAAAAAGGATGAAAGACTGGTTACAGGGAACCGATACCCTCACTTGCTATGATGAGGGAAATCACAGAACTTGGTCGCCAACTTTGAAGCTACTTTCAATTTGGTTATGGTTATTATACTTTTCGAATGGACATGCATGTCCATTTTGATAAAAAAAAAAAAAAAAAAAAAGGTAATTGGAAGCCAATGTGGCACTTAACAAAAGCTACAGGGCATGTTATATGCATGCATGTGGCATGTCATGTCGACTTTCCATTAAGCTTTAGTATGGAATGAAGAAGTGACCCAATTAAAAATACTTAAAGAGTATAGTGAAATAGTAACATGAACAGAAGTTATAAAGGTGCGATAACTTGATTGAATATTTTCCTAGGTTGAATGACCAAAATAGTGCTTGTGCTTGGAGTCATCTCCATTACAATTTCCGAAGATGATCCTGAGTTTTGAAGGCTTTAAGGTTTTTTTTCCTCAAATCTCCTGAAAAATATTTGGTGGTATGGTGACTTTCCTTTCTTCTTTAATTTTTTCATTGTAAATTGTCGTTCAATTGGAGATACTCCCAAGTTATAAAGGGTTACTTCATATTTATAATTATCTGAAGGGAACAGTAATTTACACCCTCTTGCAATAGTTGTTAGAGCAGACATCTCACTTGTAATCGATTTGTTGAAATAGGTCACAGCTTGCAGATTATTTCTATCCAGTTGCTGCTTTTCATGGATGATAATTCATGAGAGTTCATTGGATTTGGAATTGGCGTTTCCATTTTCAAAGAGTCTCGTGATTGTTATCATGCTTTGGTGAAGTTTTGCTTGACTTTTTAGTCCAGTTTATAGATGAATTTAGAATGGCACGTGCTCTTTTTTCTCAAAGAGTTGATACTGGAGAGCGCAAGACAAAATTCAATATATGAAGCTGGGTTTGACGTATTGAAAATTGATAGTTTGTGTAGGGGTTTTTTCTCCAATTGACGATATTAGGCTGTGTATCCAGCCAAAGTGTTTGTGGAAATGGAGTGGCCCTACAAGAAATTAACAAGCAAAACACGATTTGTAGAGAGAATGGAATTAACAGCTGGTGTGAACTCTTTGGTTTTGCAAGTTTTGGTAGTTCTTATCATGTTCTGCATGAGCTTTTATTTGTAAGACCATCTAATACTCGGAATAAGAAAGCAGAGGGATAAATCACGTTGAACAGTGTCATGTTATCTATCCTCTATATGAATATGGACAGAGGTAAATTGTCTACACTGCCATCTGATACATTTGTTATATGAGGAGAGCAGATTTCAACATGTCTTGTTGCTTATTCATGGTAGTGACAGATCATCTACTACTGTTTGTCAAACTCCATATTAGTCTTTTTGTGCTAGTCCTCACAATAATGAAAGATTGATCTCTTTTTGTAGAAATTGCATGATTGCCATCTACTTATTTTTGTGAAAGTAAACTAGTTTTGCATATTTGTAACTTGAATGCAGTGGCCCAATGATACCTTCGTTATAATAGTCACATAGGACTAATTTATGCTTTTTTTTAATCGCAGTTGCTTGACACTGGATTTTTTCATGCTGACCCACATCCTGGAAACTTGATTCGTACTCCAGATGGGAAATTAGCCATTCTGGACTTTGGTTAGTCTCTTTTTGGTCTTAAACTGAATTATTAGTGTCATGAGTCACTCAGCTTTGTTTTTTATTTTTTTTTCTCTTGGCCCCAATTTTTCTTGCAAGTTCAATCGCCTTGCATATTTATTTAATATGTTTTGATAAATTCATCTGTATTTAACATATTATCTGCTCCAGGAAGTATGCTTTTGTTTAGTTAGCTTCTTACATGTTAACGGGTTTATACTACTTGTACCTTCTCTTTTAGATCCAGAGAAACACATGCTTACTAAAATGGAAAAGAAGTATACTACTTGTACTTTTCTCTATAAGATCCACAGGAACACTTGCTTACTAAAAAGGAAAAGAAGAGAGAAAGATATAGAGGGATGAAATTTGTGGTTTTGTGGAAGTTCCCGTTCTTATTTTGTTTCATTGCAATGTCTCAGATACATAATTATATCTTATGTTCAATTATTACTTGTTACGGACATATAATGGAGATAGATTCAAATATTACTGTCCCTTAAAAATATTGTCTGTTTCTTCATGAAAGTTTTGTATATTTCAGGAAAGAATATTGTAGGATATGCACTTGTGCTTCCCAAGGTGATGTGTGTTTGTCTTTTCTCCTATAGGGCTTGTTACAAGATTAACTGATGATCAGAAATACGGAATGATTGAAGCAATTGCTCATCTCATTCATCGAGACTATGAAGCAATAGTCAAGGACTTTGTAAAGCTTGATTTCATACCTGATGGGGTCAACTTGGCACCTATTTTGCCGGTTCTTGCGAAGGTTTTCGATCAGGCCCTTGAAGGTGGAGGGGCAAAAAATATAAACTTTCAGGAGCTTGCATCAGATCTGGCTCAAATAACCTTTGATTATCCATTCAGAATACCCCCATATTTTGCTCTCATCATCAGGGCAATAGGGGTACTGGAGGGTATAGCTTTGGTTGGAAATCCTGATTTTGCCATCGTGGATGAAGCTTATCCTTATCTTGCTCAGGTGAGTGAAATTATCCTTTGTATGGTAGTCTTCTTACCTTTGTTGGAGTAGGGTGTGAACTCATACAGTTGCCTATCTGTAAATTTTTTCATAACTAATTGGAAGTGTCCTCTACGCCTAGACTATGTACATTATTATTGTTTGAATGTAAAGTCATTTTGTGCAAAAGTAAAGTGTCGGTTTCTATCTAACATGAATTTGGTTAGTTTGGTTTTACTTTGTTACTAGAATATACCTGATTGCAGTGTTTGTGTTTTGCTTTTTTAATAAATCCTATGCTCACTGTTTTGATGATACTTTTTGTCCTTGACAGAGGCTCCTCACAGATGAGTCTCCGCGTCTCAGGGATGCCTTAAGATACATGATTTATGGCAAATCTGGGGTATTTGATGCTGAAAGATTCGTTGATTTGATGCAAGCTTTTGAAAATTTTATTTCTGCAGCCAAGAGTGGTGGTGGAGAGGAAATGAATGGAGATATGGCTGGACTTGGCATTTTAAGAAGTCAAACGAGTGGTATCGTTCCACGATTCCAATTAAATGCATCTCAGTCAGAGGAGCCAATCCAAACAAGGGCTGCCTTGGCATTTCTGTTATCTGATAAGGGAAATCTCTTCCGGGAGTTCCTTCTGGACGAGGTATGAAAATACATTAAAGCATGGACTATAATTTTATCACCTTCTCCACAAATAAGAGTATTCATTTGTACGATTTGTGACAGTAAACGCTCTCAATGTTCCTCCAGAACAGCCTAAAGGTCTTGGGGCAAAAAAGAAATTGATCAACTCGCGGTCATTATTCCTAGTATTATGTCGCATACTATGACTGTTCTTGATGTTTAATGTCAGTGGCCTTTGGACCCTGCCACTCACTCAATTCCATCTATGACTGGGGCCAATGCCTAGTTGCCCTTCTGTAGGAGGACTAGTTAATATAAGATATTATTTACAATTGATGCTCACATGTTATCTAAGAGCATCTCTAAAATACTGGAATATTGTCCTCTTCATGCTTACAGATTGTGAAGGGAATTGATGCAGTCACCAGGGAACAGTTGGTACAAATAATGGCAGCCCTTGGGTTGCGTAACGTGTCTCCTGTTTTCAGTATGGTCCCTTCATTTGGACTTATTAAACCTGCTGCACTTCTACCAACTGTAACAGAGGAGGACCGAGTCATATTGAACAATGTTCAAACGGTTCTGGAGTTTCTGACTGCTGGAAGCTCAATCTCAAGGACATCAAATCAGGTATTAGGTGTTTTGCTCTTTTGACTATTTCAGTTATGGTAGTTTAGGATGTTCTGAGTACAGATTTTTAGTGCCTTGAGCTTCCCCTTTTTCACCCATCTTGTGTTCAACACTGTGATTTCCTTTTATAAAAGAGTAACTTAGATAAAGCTTTCCCCTCTATCAGTTAGGCAATAAGGCAAGATGAGGATGAAGGATATCATCTACCTTCCCGTGATGTCTTGTTTCTTTTAATGTGTGCTCCCTGATCATAGAAATCCTCTTTATTGGCATACTCTGGTGCGTGTAATCAAAGTAATGAGTTTATTGTCCATGATCCTCCCCTCTCTTTTCCATCTTTTATCCTTGAAGTTGTTCAAGTTGGTCTTAGTTTCTTGCTATCTTTGCTCTTCCACCCTCAAATATCTCTCCTTCTATGATATGCTCATCTTGAAATTGTCCTCTACAATTTCAGGAGTAATCAATTTTCTGTTTCGTGCTCTTATAGTTTCTAGTGTAGGGCATCATTGTTGCTACTACAGGTTGGTCCTGCATGATAAGGTAATTGTCATTTTGTAGAAGTCCACACTCCTTGATAGAGGGATCTCAGATGCATTGTTCCTGTTGAGCAGTTAAAACATACCCTGAGGAAGTACCTCACTTAGCTGAGAAAACTCAACTCCTCTTTTATTTTTTTGAGAATTTAAGCAGAACAAGAGGTGGACTTAACACAGGCGATGTGCCATCGTCACCCAAAACTAAACCAGAAAAGGTGATCTACAGTGGGACCTATAATTTTAGATCAGCTTCAAGAAATTGTGAAGCTTTTAGCCGTTTCAACAACGAGGTTGTCGGAGCTCTAGAGATGGGGCATTGTTTCACTAATTGGAAATGCTACTGAAAAATTGTGCTTTCTTACTTTATTATCGTCGATAGTGATAAATCTTGGATGCAGTGAGTCCTAAGATAAATCTGTATATGCCATGAAGGATTTTTAGTTAACGATTGTCTTTTAAATTGATAGACAATAACTTTACCATTCTTTATGCAATGGATAGGGTGTGGATGTTGCTCGGATCGTCCAAGAGCTGCTTCCGGTGTTGCCAGGAATCTCAGCTACAGTCCTTCCAGAGGTGCTCAGTCGGTTATCTTCTCGAGTACTGGCGCGCATAATTAGGGATTCATTTTTGTAAATCACTGATCCTCACTGATTTCAGTCGTAACTGTGCATAAATATATCGACAAATACAATAGCAGAATACGTCAATAGCACATCGATTATGGGATCGGCTAATCTCCTTGTATATAATGGCAAGAAGAGCAATTACAAATGTCAATTAGAAAATCAGATAGAAATCTCCTTCCTTCAGCTGTCAACACCAACAAGCTCGCACTTCGACCTCGGTGCGAAAAATAGGAACTTCTATTACGCAGAGAGAGAGAGAGAGAGAGAGAGAGAGAGAGAGAGAGAGAGGGCATCTTGTCCCCTTAAATCCAAGGGATTCAAAAAGCATATCTCAGTATACACCTAGGTTGATAATCCGGATCTCTCGATTGTTAATGAAGCACAAGATGTTAGGTCAGAGATGAAGGCTGTCGCAATTATACGGAGAATATTGTACATTACGTATATTGTGATAGACAGAATCAATTATATGATACGCAAAAATGCTAGAGCACATGTTCTTCTTGGGACCCAATATGGGTGTCGTCATCTCTTGGTGTCAGCTGGTTAAGGTGGAAGAAGCAAATTTTGTGTCTATATTTGCCAAATTGCAGCTTATTCCAATGCTTTGCTTCGTGGCCTTAACTGCAATACGACATGAACCCTTTTGTCCAGATTAGCATCGTTTTCACCGGAACATGTTTCATGCCGATTGATACCCTTAAAAGAAAAGGAGGAAAAAGAGAGAATGCCTAGATCTCCAATGATGAAAAGGTTCAAAATCACACTAAGCTCGAGAAAGATGAAAGAAAAAAAAGATGGAGATAAGACTTAATATATTTCACGTTATCATGATACAAAATCCAACAGACAACTCTCTCTCTCTCTCTCTCTCTCTTCATGATTGTTTACACTGCATTTTGTCACGGCTTTGCCCTCTAGTTATTGGCAAAAGAAGAAGATTTCAAAGATCCCACCACTTTCCCCGTTCCCTCACTCCTGTATCTTTGCTTGCTTCCATCATGATGTTATGATAGTGATCCTGCATATAACCATTGATGTATCACCCAATTCGTCTCCAAAGAAAGTTAAAGATAACCTCTCTCTCTCTCTCTCCCACAAGTTTTCACCTCCCTAATGAGTGCAATGACCAAAAGCAAAAGAGTATCAAGCTTAGTGGGGTGGGGGCACGGGGGCAAAATCATTAGGCCTCAATCAACTAGCGACACGGCGAACAGACGTCAATCACTGTGCAGAAAACATTCCGGGTCTAGTGTTCTCTTTTCTTAGGACCTTTGTTGGGTCCGGCTAGTTGTTGCACTGTGATCGGTATTCGTCGTCGGTCTTATTCTAAACCGGAAAAACCTACCATGCTGATGCCCTGAGAACAAGGTATAATGTCACAGCAACCTTCTAGGAAACGTTGTGTCACTCACTTTGCCCGCTGTAGTTTGGTCCACAACTTTTTGAGTTCACCTTCACTTGTCAGGTCTGCTGTGTCCATGAAAAACAGAAAGGTTGCTGAGAGAGGCTAAATCTGCACTCCTGGCGGCCTCGGCACAAAACAGGTGCACTTCTCTGGTCTGCTCTTGCTATGCGCCGTCGCGGAGTTTCAGTGGTAATTGCGAGGCAAGAAATAGAGGTAGCAGTGCGAGGAAGTTGTCTCCGGTGGCGCAGAGAGATGGGGTCACGGAAGAGCTACGGGGTAACGAAATCGGAGGTCGAGTGAAGCGCCATGGTGGGCCTTGTCATGCTCATGGGGGAGTCCCTATTCATAAGAGCAGCCTCAAGAAAGCCACTGAACCGGATGAACTTCAGCGAAGGACGGAGTGCAGGAAAGTCAATTGGCCCGATGCTCATGGAAAGGACATTGCGCATGTGCATGAATTCGAGCCGAGGTAAGATTGTCACCCCTGCTTATTTAACTTTTGTCATCAAAGTCGTGTTAAGGGTATTTTTGTGTATTCGTGCGATGTCTAGGCCATGAACAATCGGCAAACATTGGGGTTTTAGTTTGCATCTAAGAGACTTTCTTTTGCGAATAAGAGTGGCATATCCAAAACCAAAAGGTGCTGATTTCATTGCAAATCAAGAGAGATGCAGCTCAATCGCAGTTCTTTTATGAGATGAGATATGACAAAGCATAAGAGTGAATTTTAAAGTTTGGTATAATAAACTTCAATTTCCAAATTCATTAGGACCTCACATTGTTTTTACTGATGTAGTGTTTCAGAAGATGGAGAAATTGGCGGGGTTAGGAATTCTTGTGTTTGCTCAATTCAATGAAACAGCACATGCCAAGGTACAAATGTCCAGCTTGTGAGTACCTGATTTTCTCAAGTACTTTCTGTCCCCAAGTGCTGTCTTCTACTCAAATTTCCACCGGTGAATGGGAAATATCATCGGTTAGCATTTGAGATGACAATTCACTCTCAGAACATATCTTCTGATTCAACTCACCAAGATAATCGGAAATTCGAATGAAGAATTAGCGCGGGGTTATGTCTATTGACGCATGCGCTGATCTGGGTTTAGCGGAGACAATATAAGCTATTAAACATTCTTGGTCATTGTCTTCGAGCTGTTTCTTCAACTAATATATTTAGCCAATTCTTTCAGTACTTGTAATTAAGTAGATACTGTCCCTTGTCTGTTTTAGCTGAAAATGAAACGTAATAGGTGAAACCACAAGATCTTGCAGCTTCAAATGTGTTGGACAATGACTGCTACTGGGCAGCATCTGCTGTTCCCTCTTTGCTGGAAAATTCAAACAACAAATTTGCCCTTGTAGACTTGACAGTAGGGCTGGCAACTATAGAAGGTAGGATAAATGATCCTATGGGATACAAACAGAAGAAAGTTTACTGAATCAAATCTGACCACAATACAAACATGAATTAACTCAAAGCTAACTCTAGTCAACTTGATGCATCTTCAATTTTCTTTTTGAAGATTTCATATTCAGCAGTATTAGGAACCAGTAAGCCGGTGCACTATGAATAAGGTAATTAGAGTCTCGATGTTGTGAGGCTCTCCCCATGTATGTGATATTCCATTAGGCCTATTGAGTAGAGACGTAGTCAGTTTCTGTAATTCTTTCTTCCTCTCTCCCGTGGATCCTAAAAATTAATGGAAGAAAGAACAAAGTCCCACCGGATGGTGGGAATTCAGCAATTTCAACAATCACAAAAAAAGAATGATGGGAATTATCAAGATGAATGCGGTGACACCCCAAATTTACCCATCTCTACTCGATACCCGCATCAATGTATTAGATCAACATCATCTGCTTCTGATAGTTATAACGACTTCCTTAGTATTACAATTTAGGCCAGTTGTCTCGTGAGATCGACTATATCCTTTCTTTTGCTCTTCTGCAGCGTCACGTCACCTTCCCTGCATAATTGACCATACAGTTGGATTAAATGTTCTCCCTGTCCTCCAAAGTAGTGTGGACAATAAATTTTCCGACGTGTTATTGGCTGGCATTGCTGTTTCTCGTTGTTTAGCAGCGGAATCAATCATCAGGTGGCGCAGGTGCTTTGATGGATTTTCCAATAACTTCTTCACAGCCAACATTGGGAAAATAATCCTGAAAAACGAAAAGTATGCTTCTTCAAGATACATCAATTAGAAAACAGGAATGGCAGTCATTGAAATCTCCATGTAAACAAATATATATGAGTAAGACAAGATTTCATGTGCGGTCACTGTACTAGATATCAGCAACAATGGAATTGGCAACTTTTATTAAAGGATTTCCTACATAGAAGAATCGTATATGGATCAGCTAGAGTTCTAGAGGTCTAGAACATCATCTCCATTGGCAGAAACAACCACAAAATAAGCACCGTGTCTAAGGGTCTTTGTTTTAGTGGAGAGCCAATTCTAAGACTACAAAAATCGACTCTTCAACCCGGCATAGCGTGCCAAAACCAATCACACCACAATGACTCAGCAGGTCATTACCACAAAACGAATGCCCTTCCGCGATAGGCCCGAATGCCGCTGGTCAGGGCGGGGATAAGCTTGCTTCAAAGGTCAGTAATGAATAGACACCCAAACCATGTCCTTTTCCTTGCATTCATGTGGAATCGCATAGGTTGATCTACATAGTCCGTTAAAGTAATGCTATTTTAATGAGAATTCTTTTCCGAAAAGCATACTGGGAAAGGCAAGCACAAAGAACAGATAGATTCAGCTGATCGAGTTTGGGATGTGCTATCTGATAGGTGTGCTTATTTTTCACATCTTTCTTTTACATGATGCCACCCACGCCTTGACTCATCGTTATCTCTCTCTCTCTCATGTGGATTTGGTGCATTGTGTTACCAAGTATAGTCGCTTCCTCTTTGTTGTCAAATTACAGTAAGCATGTGGATTTCGCTCTCAGTGATTTTCCTGAACAACCTAGAAATTGAGCAGATCATTGGTGGACGGCAACACTTTTACGGTGCTGTCCCCGCTGAAAGTTCACGCACTAAAAAATTGTCGAAACAGATTGGCTCTAACCTTCGCAAGTTGCAGTTGCTTTCCCGTTGCTGATGTTATGTAGTTGATGAGAGCTTATTGAAGTGTCTTGCCTCCACCGGATGAATCAAAACTCTACTTGTTCTTATAAGGTTAACAATTTACAGTTGCTAGTATTGATCATCATATAAGATATTTTTGCCATTGCTTATGTTGTCGAATATTTGATAACCGAGTGATCCATGGCCACCTGCACATCTATATGCCTTTTAATTTCCTACTTATGAAAAGATGGAACTTCCAAAGGCATAGCTAGGCATCTTCTGCTACTGAGAAGCTATGGAATTTGGACTCCGTTTTGTATTTCATGGTCATATAGCCGAGAAACCAAAGATCAAGAAATCTTCAACAATCGGAAGTGGAATCTACAAGAAATCTTCTGCTCTTTATGCACAGAACACAATCCTAGAAGTTTGCGGATGCTCATCAGACAAGGTGCCCAAGCCACCCAATCATGACCAACTTCATGAATCGTGTTATAAGGGTCGTTTGCTTCTGATACCGAGTTGATGCGAGCTGTTTTTCTCCTCATGATAATCAGTAGAATCGTTCTTTTCCCCCACCAAGCGCCAATTTTAAAGGAGTAAATGAACTTGCCAGAAAATGAAAATTTGTTGTAAGAATACCTCCCTTACAGTACTCAGCAAGTCGAATGGATATGCATTGGAAATCATCATTGCACAATGTCTTCACAGATTATTATGTCGATAAACCAGTGCAGATTGCAGATACACATAACCATGTCCTGAGGCATACTAACCTAATTCTTCATCTATCTTACTAAATATCAGGTTAAGAGTGTAAGGTAGCCATTTCATTCCATCCCAACAATTGTCTACATTAATCCTTGAAAAAAAGTTCGAAAACCACCTGACTAGCACAATCAGTCATAAGATAAAGTATCCATTTTCGAGAAAAAGAATTACACCGGTATCAAGGAACAGCAGAGCTTTTTCAGTCAAATGACAATAACAACACCACCAAAGCCTTTTCCGACTGAGTTGTTTGGGTTACATTGATCCGTTGGAGAAACTATTCGGTTCATGCAACAATTGCACTTGCAATATAGCAACAGCATTAACGAACACGAACCAAGTGCCATACCACTGATTGAGTGGGATTGGCCGTAACGAACCCTTTTAACCCGTTGCGCTCGAGTAAGTTGCTGAATAACACCTGAAAACAATGGGCTTTCTTCCAAGTCGGTAGTTCTGCATGGACTGCATGAGGGAACAACTTATCAGATCATGAGCCAAATTGTAAAAAGACATATCCAATCAAGCCTGCTCTGATTTGTCTGTGGGACCTTACTGAAAAGTTGAGGCTTTGTGTAAGCACGCCCAAGCAAAGTGAGAGGCATTGGATACCAAATGCTGATTGAAGTACCAACAGACTCATGACAATTCTAATGCTGGTGCTGGAAGCATAATTACACAGATTGCATGTGTGACCATCATTCATGCACTACTAGCGTCTACTGTTGCAAGGCGTGATAAAGCCATCATGAACACCCTACAGTGATCCAATTTGATTATAGGGTTTCAAGAAATCATGACAGGGGGTGAATCTTTTGGGAGGACATTAACTGGTCTGGAAGACCATTTGAGAGAAAAATGTAGAGTGAACAATTCAAGAAAAGGGCTAAATAAAGTTGGACCACAGAAAATAAATAAATAATTAATGAAATGAAAACAAGTTGAAGGAAAGTAGTAAGGAAAAAAGATGAGAAAAGGAACAGGTTCAAAGCAGGAAGATTCATCCTGAAAAATATAAGCCAAGCATAAGGTACATGTACCTCTGGCTCAACCCCACCCTTATCGATAAATACTTATACTTCCATAAATTTCTAATCAAGTCTCTCCTCGCCAAATCCGACTAGACGACATCATGGTGTGACGTGAATAAAATTTTTGTGATATACACGTCCACATATATAAGTGTCCATATTGACTAATTTTTTTCGCATTATATTTCAACCCTATCTACGATATCTAATTTTCCACTCATGTTGCTTGAGCATCCACATGTTTATATGTCTCATGTCAGTTAAATTTGGTTCGAAAGGACTTGATCAGAAAATTTGTAAATGTAAATTTTTTTTTTTGTGTGTGTAAAATGTAAGTACTAGTTTTAAGATAAAGTACAAAAGCTTGTGGACACCCCAGCATTACAAATAAAACTAATAATGCGAGAAGATGGAGGTAGAAAGTCTCCACATATTAGCCAATATTACATTAGACTAGGAAGGTATAAAATTTCTATAGAGTAAAACTTTTCCTCTAATGATTTTACGCACCTTAGCCAAAATTATGTGGATATCATTTGACTTATTTTGAAAACGTTTGTAATTGTGCTCCGTCCAAATGCAATATATTGTTGCTAAGAATGATACCTTGAGGAGCCTTGCCAACAAGTCTTTGCCCCTATCAGCCTTGATCATCCATCGAAATTCATCATTCCAACCTCCTATAGAATGACGAATCTCATGTTGTGCAAAAAATACTACGCCATATACTTCAAGTCCAGTTGCATCGAAAGAACAAATGTGTTCTATCTTCTAAACGGGTCATGCAAAAATGGCACGAGTTATACAGAATGTAGAGGGGTTTTACTTGATAGATTAAAAGTACGACAAAACGTGATAGATAAAAAATAAATTTTTTCTTTGATAAATTAAATATATATTGCCATTTATATGAGCACACACTTGGATGAAACGCTCGTCCAGCTTTATCCAACATGGCCCCCATGATGCTTGGGTGGTCGAATGAATGTGCACATGTTTTTTTACAGCTTTTTTGGAATTTTTTTTCTGTCCACTGCAATCAAGAGTAGTTCTACAACCAATTTTGCTTAAAACTACAAATAATGAATAATTTGAAATATATTTTCCTAAAAATGACCTATCGTTTCGCTTGAAATAATTACTTAATAGATTATATTTTCATTATCGATAATAATTTATATCTAAACATTTTCTGGATGACGAAAAAAAAAATTCATTCATTTTTGTTAGCAATACATCTGATTATTTTTAAAAATATATATTTCAAATTATTAATTTTTCGCGAAACAAACGGAGCTAGATATTAATTTATTAAATTGGTTTATCGGTTGATGATGTGAGGACTCATGTTGGGAACTCAGATGTGCCA